CACCACTCCCTTATTTTCAGGCCCACCTACACAAATCTTATATCAAAACGTCCAGCTATCCCTGCTGCCACTAAACATGTCAACGGCTAAGCCGTAGTCCTGATAGTTTTCACAATATAATCATTTGTTTGCAACTAACGCCGTCCATTGACATTCATTGAAACTTCACTCTACAAAGCTCAAATTTGAAGTGCAATTTCTAAACTGCGACTGTGCCTTCATTGTTAATACTTCAGAGACATACTATGCATCAAAATGTAGGTCTGGGTCTTGTGATTCTCACAATATAAAGCTCTTCGCTGTAGGATTTATAGTTTTTACAATATGACCGTTTGAAGATGGCAACCACCAAAATACTCTGACCTGTCGAGGCTGCAGCAGCAAGTGATGTCATAGACAGGGCCTTTTGAACACCTGCTAATGTTTTATAAATGTATGGTTTAATGTAACTGTGCAACAACGTTGCAATTGAATGTGCTAGACTACTGGTTGAGGCAAGAACACTTCACACAATTTCCCCAGAAATTGTAGCTTTTCTAGTTATTATTATTATAGCAAAATTTGCCACCCTAACTCCTCCCACAGTTTTTACACTACATAGACAAGAATTTACCAAAACGTGCAGATTGTTCCCGATCGGATTGCTATTACTTTGTGGAACGTTTCGCCGAATGGTTCACGGAATATCGTCGTTTTTGTGGCGCAATTTGTCCCATAGGAATGAATGGCAAAGCTAGAGTGGGAGCTGGCAAAAGCTGAAAATCAGGACATGATTTCTAAACTGCCACCACTCCCTTATTTTCAGGCCCACCTACACAAATCCTATATCAAAACGTTCAGCTATCCCTGCTGCCACTAAACATGTCAACGGCTAAGCCATAGTCCTGATAGTTTTCACAATATAATCATTTGTTTGCAACTAACGCCGTCCATTGACTTTCATTGAAACTTCACTCTGCAAAGCTCAAATTTGAAGTGCAATTTCTAAACTGCGACTGTGCCTTCAATTTTAATACTTCAGGGACATACTATGCATCAAAATGTAGGTCTGGGTCTTGTGATTCTCACAATATAAAGCTCTTCACTGTAGGAGTTATAGTTTTAAGATACGACCGTTTGAAGATGGCAACCACCAAAATACTCTGACCTGTGTCAAGCTGCAGCAGCAAGTGATGTCATAGACAGGGCCTTTTGAACACCTGCTAATGTTTTTTATAAATGTATGGTTTAATGTAACTGTGCAACAACGTTGCGATTAAATGTGCTATATAAATGATAACAGTTACTCCGCCCACTCCAGTTGTAGACTACAGGTGGAGGCAAGAACACTTCACACAATTTCCCCAGAAATTGTAACTTTTCTAGTTATTAAGTGTTCTTGCATAGCAAGACCACTTAATGTTATCTCATATATATATTATTAAGTGTTCTTGCATAGCAAGACCACTTAATGTTATCTCACATATATATTATTATTATTATTATTATTCTTATTATTATAGCAAAATTTGCCACCCTAACTCCTCCCACAGTTTTTACACTACATAGACAAAAATTTACCAAAGCGTGCAGATTGTTCCCGATCGGATTGCTATTACTTTGTGGAACGTTTCGCCGAATGGTTCACGGAATATCGTCGTTCTTGTGGCAAAATTTGTCCCATAGGAATGAATGGCAAAGCTAGAGTGGGAGCTGGCAAAAACTGAAAAATCAGAACATGATTTCTAAACTGCCACCACTCCCTTATTTTCAGGCCCACCTACACAAATCTTATATCAAAGCGTTCAGCTATCCCTGCTGCCACTAAACATGTCAACGGCTAAGCCATAGTCCTGATAGTTTTCACAATATAATCATTTGTTTGCAACTAACGCCGTCCATTGACTTTCATTGAAACTTCACTCTGCAAAGCTCAAATTCGAAGTGCAATTTCTAAACTGCGACTGTGCCTTCATTTTTAATACTTCAGAGACATACTATGCATCAAAATGTAGGTCTGGGTCTTGTGATTCTCACAATATAAAGCTCTCCACTGTAGGAGTTATAGTTTTAAAGATACGACCGTTTGAAGATGGCAACCACCAAAATACTCTGACCTGTGTCAAGCTGCAGCAGCAAGTGATGTCATAGACAGGGCCTTTTGAACACCTGCTAATGTTTTTATAACTGTATGGTTTAATGTAACTGTGCAACAACGTTGCAATTAAATGTGTTATATAAATGATAACAGTTACTCAGCCCACTCCAGTTGTAGACTACTGGTGGAGGCAAGAACACTTCACACAATTTCCCCAGAAATTTTAGCTTTTCTAGTTATTATTATTATTATTCTTATTATTATAGCAAAATTTGCCACCCTAACTCCTCCACCAGTTTTTACACTACATAGACCAAAATTTACCAAAACGTGCAGATTGTTCCCGATCGGATTGCTATTACTTTGTGGAACATTTCGCCGAATGGTTCCCGGAATATCGTCGTTCTTGTGGCGAAATTTGTCCCATAGGAATGAATGGCAAAGCTAGAGTGGGAGAGGGCAAAAGCTGAAAAATCAGGACATGATTTCTAAACTGCCACCACTCCCTTATTTTTAGGCCCACCTACACAAATCTTATATCAAAACGTTCAGCTATCCCTGCTGCCACTAAACATGTCA